ATGATGGCAACCTATATACAGATATGCTTGATACAATTGATGTGTGGAATGTTGTAAGAGCTGTGAGAGACCCCAATAAAATTCTGAACGCACCAGGCACTCCTTGGGAGAAAGATGAGGCATTCTACGCCAGTAAAGCTTTATAGTCTCCGAAACCCAGAACCCACTGGGGCAGTTCTCCTCTGTCCTTTAGGGTCCTTAGGAGTCGGAGCGACTGGATGACTCCATGTAAGAGGCTCTTTGATTTCTTGACTCTTGTTTCAATGGGCACTGACTGTAAAATGAAGTCCTTCGCACTGTTTATCATGGTATGAGCTTGTGAGGATTTTTTGTTTCCTAGAGGTCATACATACGCAAGGCTGCAGTCTGATCCTCATCAGAAAGTGCTTCAAGTCCTCTTCGTTTTCATCATGAATGGTAATCTGTAAATCACAGGTTGTTAATCAAGAAGGAAGGCCAAAGAAGAATGAAATCTGAATTTTGGACGGCAAACATTCCACGGATTGCAAGAAAATCTGTCTTGGAAGAAGTACAACAGAATGCTCCTTGAAAGCAAGGGTGCTGAGACTTTGTCTCACGTACTTTGGACATTTTTTTAGGAGGGACCAGTCCCTGGAGCGACAACTTGTCTGTCAGTTTGTCCTACGGTGGTGGCTTGTATGTTGTGATGCTGGAAGCCATGTCACTGGTATTTCAAATGACAGCAGGGTCACCCAAAGGTGAACAGGTTTCAGCAGAGTCTAGACTGAGAACAGACTATGAAGAAAAAATAGCTGTCTGCTTCTGAGGACTTCACCCCTGACAACATTATGAATAGTAACGGACCATTGTCGGACACTGAAGATTTCGTGAATAGCAGCAAAACATGATCAGACACAGTGCCAGAAGATGAGCCCCCCAGCCCCGCCCCCAGTTGAAAGGCACTCAGAATGTGCCTGAGAAGAGCTGCCTTCTCAAAGTAGAGGCGGCCGCAGTATCATTAATATCATATAAAATTTTGCTGATGATCATTGGACAGTGGTTAGCGCAGTAGATTGCCAGCACACTGACAGAGATTCAGGCCAGATTCAGAAGAGGATGTGAAACCAGGGATATGATTCCTGATGTCTGATGGTTCCTGGCTGAAAGCAGAGAACATCAGAATAATGTTTACTTGTGTTTTATCGATGATGCCAAGGCATTTTACTGTGTGGATGATAAAGTCACGAATAGCACTGAGAAGAATGGAAAGCACAGGACGCTTGTGTTTATGCAGAACCTGGTCATGGATCACGAGGTGGTCACTCAAACAGAACAAGGGAATAGGATTTAAATTCAGGAAAGAGGTGTGTCGGGGTTGTACCCTCTCGTCACACTTAGTTGTTGAGGTACGGATCCCCAACACCCGAATGGGTCCTCAGAAGCAACTTTGCGATTGTGGAAAACATTAGACAGACAGACAGACAGACATCTGGGCCCAGGAGCTCCTTGTCCCATGTCAGGACTAAGAGAGTGAACGTGTTTCCCAATGAGTAGATATAATAGGACTTACAGACCTTTCGTAAGGCATGCGTGTCATACAGCTAATACTAGTCAATGGGTAATGTGATGTGTTAGACAGGGTTCTCTAGAGAGATAAAACCAAATTGCTGATAATTTAATATATTTATTTATTTATAAAGGTAATTAGATATATAACAAGGAATGAACTGTTAAATCATCTACAGTTAAATATATAATACAAGAAAGAAACAGTTAAATCATAAAGCACTACAAATGGCTCAATTCAACTCACTGCCGTGAGAGAGTTGTGAGAGACTAGCAGTCCTTCCAGTCCAATCTGCTGCCAGATCTTCCTCTATTTATAGAGAGAGCTAGGTGATGTCAGCACAGCAGCCAATCAGAAGGCAGGTCACCAACTGCCAGCTAAGTCACCAACTGCCAGTCCCCAGCTCCAGTGATGTCTTAAAGGGACCTCAACTTACAGCGACACAGTCCACAGGCTAGGCGTCCCACAGGTAGTGTAGCCTTTAAATTGAGGCACAGGACAAGCAAGGCAGCCACACACTGGTCCGATGATCAAAGAGCGAGAGACAAGAAAGGCGAGACTCACCAAGGCATTTCTCTCTCTGCCCTTCAGTTAATCCCACTTGTGTTTATCGGCCAGGCTGGCACAATAAACTATTCCATGTGATAAGCAGATAACATCATAAATGAGCAATAAGGTAGGTCTGCATTTTGACCTAGTGGTAGTTGACCTCGAACACCCCTGAGCCCTCCCCAGGGGCAGTACTCTCGGATCAGTATCAGCAAGAGAAGTCAGTCTGCTATACTTTAAGGTGGGTTTGTTAGGTTTTTCAAGTGAGTTCTTGGCTTCGTATGATGAAAGAATTCACACCGAAGCCAGTTTTGTCATCCATGGGGGGTTTCATGAAGGACAGGACAAG